TAAATGTAACAAATAAAAAATCTTAACATTTGTACTAGGGCTCGCATGACTCGCATGACTTGCATGGCTCACTGGCTCGCAGGTTTATAAAACTCTTGACAGCTCTCGGGCAAGTGAAAATAGAAGTTCAGTGGCCCAGTGCATTGGGCATTGCCAAGTGAAATTATAGCCTCTGAGTCAGTATTTTTGTGAGTATGAATGAAAATGCCATAAGGCTGCAAGATTAGTTAACCATTGAGTTGAAAGCATCAATTAGTTAGGAATCTAAGCTCACTTTGTTCATGTTTGTCCTCTGATTGCCATACCCGCTGCCATGGCAGTAAGTAGCATTTTAGTGGTGGCAAGTGAAAACTGAAATTAACTAGCCACTGGGCAAGTCGATTTCAATTTTTTTCCTGCCCTGAGTTGGTGTTTTGTCAGTTGGCATTTAATACTACTTCACTTGCACATTGAAGCATGACACTTGTAATATACTGTACAATATTGATGGAAAGTGAAACGATGTGTAAAGTTCAGAACTCAAACAAGGAGGAATTTTACAATACAAATAACTAGCTTAGACTATACTTTGACACTGAATTGCTGATTTGGAAAAATAATCTTGGTTTTTATCTGAGGCAAACTGAACTCATTGGGCCTGGCTGCAAGTGTTTGGTTACATCTCGGGTTGAAAGAGATCTTTCTCCTTGTTAAACAGGCTAAATTTGGTCCAAAGTTGTTGTCAACAATAAATTGAATTTTCTGATATGCAGTATTCGATGCATCATAGGGGTCTTGAATATACTCAATTGCTGGTGCTAAAGCCAAACTTCTGTTGTGTGTAGTGTCGGTGAATACTATACTGCTGACAGTAATTTTCATATAGACCCTATTTTCTATCCAATTAAGACAGGATGTCAAGTCACACATCCATCATCACAGAAAAACACCTCTGAGGTGCACTTTTATTTCTTTCATACATGTATGTTCATATTATTTGTTCTACTCTGGTAATGTTATCTTCTGCAATGTTACACTGATGTATGCATTTGGAATAACAAACTGAGTAGCTTTTACCCATGGCTCAGTATCAAGTATCAATTTTTTTTTTTATAAATTAAGACCCTCCTTTTCATCTTTTTTTGCAATTTTGAAAAGTTTGCAATAATTTGTGCAAAGTAGTGTAATTAATCATCTTGTAGTTGAC